AGGAGGAGGAGGAGGAAATAGTCAAGAAAAAGAAGGAGGAAGAGGAGGGGGAGGAAGAGGAGGAGGATAGTAAAGAAGGAGGAGGATGCAATAAAGAAGAAGCAGGATAAAGTAAAGAAGAAGAGGAGGATATATTAAAGAAGAATGAAGAGGAGAGGCGAGGAGGAGGAGGGGAGGAGGGGGGAGGGGGTAGTGAGAAATGATATGGAAAGATTAGCAGAGAAACCAAATGTGAGAATGTGGAACCAGGGTCGAAAGTGAAAGGCTGAAGGGCAACATATCGACACACACGCAGTTGCGGCGATATTATTTAGAGTGGGCTTACAGAGAACGCGATCTAGGCTGAGAGATTATATATCTCTCTCTTGCCCCTTTTAACTCCCAGTGGGGCACAACATTACTCCAGCGAAGCCTGTCCCGAGCATCCTTTTCTATCTGTTTCCATGCTGTCCCGCTTTTTCAATTTCCGCTTGTACCGCTCGCCTCCATGTCATCTTTGGTCTTCCCTTCTTACGCTTTCCTTGTGGGTTCCACGTTAAAGCCTGCCTGATGATGCTTGTCGGGGGTCTCCTCAGGGTGTGTCCAATCCATTCCCATTTCTTCACCTGAATATCTTCCTTTACTGGCCTTTGGCTTGTTCTCTCCCACAGTTGAGCATTAGTGACTCGTTCGTACCACTTGATCCCCACTATCCTTCGTAGGCATAGATTATAATATATAGGTATAAGGAAAAATGGAGGAAGAGGAAGAATGTGAAGGGGATGAGGTGGGGAAGAAGGAAAACAGTTTTGAGGAAGGAGAGGAGTACGAGAGGGGAAGGGGGAGATGAGGAGGAGAGGAGGAGGATAAAGGGTAAAAAGAAGAATACGTGAAAGAGGAAGAGTGATTGCAAATTGCTCGTTGAAAAAAAAGACGGTGGTGGGGTGGCGGTGTGGAGGCGCTGGGGAGGGAGAGGCGGTGTCATTTTTGTTGTTTTTAACCAGTGGCAAAGTGTCCACGCAAGCACGGCACTTGTGACAACAGCTGATCTACTAGAGGAATACACAAATACAAGACAGACCCAGAGCGGCTTTAGGCCTTAGCTTTCGAAGATGATGAAGAACTCTAGCCTCTTAATTCGAAGGAACACGCGAGCGCGCACGCACACTCACGTACACTCTCTCTCTCTCTCTCTCTCTCTCTCTCTCTCTCTCTCTCTCTCTCTCTCTCTCTCTCTCTCTCTCTCACACACACACACACACACACACACACACACACAAACATGCATACACACTGATCTCTCTCTCTCTCTCTCTCTCTCTCTCTCTCTCTCTCTCTCTCTCTCTCTCTCGCTCTCTCTCCTCCCCCCCCCCATTACACACTCGCTCGCTCACACGCACGCACACACACACACACACACACACACACACACACACACACACACACACACACACACACGTGTACACACAAATAGCACACACAAAAACACACTCACACACACACACACACACACACACACACACACACATTCACACACTCACAGACACGTGCGTGCTTACACATACATACTGTTTTATTGAATGTTTAAAACCACGGCTAAAAGTGACATTAACTGATGCTTTTGCATCGTATTCTTTGTGTTTTAAAAATAACACACATTCATCACCAGCCTACAATTTTGTCAGCTTGATCTTGCCCCCCTCCCTCCGCCCATTGTTTTTGCTTCTCAGAATACCGTACGTTATCTTTTTTACACATTGCCAAAGTCTATATTGACATCAGGTATGCAAATCACTGAGGTGAAGGTTCGAAAAGTGGAGGCCACAACGATCTGAACCTGACGTTCTTCATCATCTTTCTGCCAGATTGGGACATAAGACAAGTAAAACAGCGGTTTTACTCATAAAATTCCGATTTGTCTGGCGTATGTTTCACTTCAATTTGAACGGTAGTTTGACATTTTGAGCCTCTGACTCTGACAATAAATTGTTGTTCGGGAGAAAGTGAACCTTTAGATACACCAATCCTCTCTAGCGGGGTGGAGTAGGCCATATATTACCTAATTCGCGTCAAATATTTTGATATTACGAGCAATCTGTCTGACTGCTATATGCATTCAAAGAGTCACCAGGGGATGTCTTCCTCCTCTGGAGAACTGTATATGTTGCTCTTTAATCTTGCTCGATTCCAGGCCAAGACCAAGATAAACAAAACAACAGTACGGTACGAGACCTCCTCTTCGCGCCGGCTGCTGCTCTTGATACTCACAGTGAATACATCCTACAAACAATCATGGACCGCTTATCAACAGCATGTAAGGTCTTCAGCTTTGTCATCAGTGTCAAGAAAGCAGTCATCCTTACTCAGGAAGGTGCAGAGCAGAGCCATATTTGACTGAACGAACTTGAGACAATGTACAAGTTCTGTTACCTGGGGTCTACCATCAGCTCTACTACATCACTTGACGATGAGATGAACATATCAGGATATTGAAAGCAGCAACAACTTTTGGAAGGCTGACAAAACGAGCTTGGGAAAACAAAATATTAACCACCAAATAGTATTGTGCTTAGCTTTTAATTAAAAGAGACAATATTTGAAGACTGATCCCTAATCTATGTAGATAATCTCATAGCTTGATTTTGTCCCTTGTAAAATGCAGCTATAATAATATATATAATAATATTTATAATTATTCATAGTGTAACACGATGTTGTAGAGGGATTAGGGTTCCTTAAAAAAAAAAAAAGAGCTCTAAATAGTATTGATTAATAAGTAAATAAATGGTAGGACGCTTATTTCGGTTATTTTGTTTTTCTTTTGTTGTATTTTTTTAGAGGGGGGGGGGGGGGGGGTATTTTTGTGGATTAAAAAAAAATGAAATGGCCTTTTCCACTTCAAGACAAAACAACAGAAAAACCCATCAAAAGTGTCTTTGAGCGGTTTGTCTGTAGAATCTGGGGGTTATATTTCCATTTTCCACGGTACTTCCGACTTCCGTTATTGACTGAAAAGAAACGAAAGTAGGAACAAGGCAACAAAGTCAAACCCTCTAAATTCATTGGTCTTGCTTTGAAGAGAAAGTGTCTTTAGTGCTGCTCTCAGAATGGCTTCAAGTGCTTCACGTGTGTTGAGGTCACTTGCAAAGGAATTAGGGAGGGTATATAGAAAGGTACAACTTTGAAAAATTACGAGACCTTTTCTTTTTCGGTCCTTGCCGGCCTTGCCCCAGTAGTCAGAGCCTTCTTGAATCTTCTTACATCTTAGTAATTGGTCTTCTTGATTTTGTTAACAACAATGCTTGTAGGGCAGGCCTACTGTCAAACCTGTGTGAAACAGCCACCCATTGTCAAGGAGAAAGGCCAGCTCTATTCGGGCTCAAGTCCGAATATAATTTTTATCTGTTCGGACTCGAGTCAGAATATATATGGGTTTTATCTATTCGGACTCGGGTCCGGAAAAATGTTTTATTTATTCGGACTCAGCTTTTAAGTCAAGTGAATTACCTGAGTGTAAGGAGGTTACCTAATATAATGGTCATGGAGGGAATTTTACGTAAAACCAGAATTAGAACTAGAATTGTCTACTTGGACTTGGACTGCGTAATTGTGTCAAAAGACTGGACTCTCATTATTAGATCTACCCAATGGCAGTGTCTCTGTAGCCTACACGGTAACGTCAACCAGGGTCTTTCCACCACCACTACAGCATCATCATTACTTCCTCCACCATTTGTGTTTCCACATGTTTAATTTGATTTTGTTGTGTGTTATAGTTTTTCTGTAATTATTTTTTTCATCCCATCGCACAAACCCGACAGCCGCGAAGTCTTCCCAACACCTCTTCCCCCAGCAAGCCGAGAGTGCGAGATCGCTATGCGCAATCTCATTGGTCGACATAATTAACTTTGCCACCGACAAGGTCAACTCAACTTTGTCGTTTCTGTTCATACCAAGGAGCATAAAACAGAGTACAGACTTATGATGCAGGGAGGGCCAGTTTAGATAGATCTAATACTAATAACTGGATATCAAAGCTCACGTCTTGACTGTTATTATTATAAAAGAAAAAATGTTCATAAATGTTGGAAATATTTAGGAACAAGGGTCGGAAAATCGGAACGGACGTCATGCTGTACTCAATTCAGAGTCTGAATATAATTTTGGTCTCCGAATAGTCACTTCGAAGGAGAAAAGTGGCCGTATAAAACACAGTTGGCCGTCTAAGGCAGGACTGATCAAAATGAAGAAAGTTAATCATTCTCTTCGGAGGTCTAACCAGGCTCTGATCTCAGGCTTTAGACTAAAATTAGACTGTCGTAAGGCGAGTTCAAACGCTCCTGCAGGTGGGGGGGGGGGGCCCATAGTTTTACTATGGGGGAGCAAAGAATACACCTGCCGTGAACGGTGATACTGCGTGTCGTAAGAAGCGACTAAAAGTGTGAAGGTCTGGTCGCCCGAAAAGTGCCAGTTTGCGGAGGGCCAACTACCCAACCCAGAAAAAAACAACAAGTTACAGAAACACGGACAAACACAGCTTTTTATTTTTCGATCTTGGGAGACGGAGGAGCTTCTGCATCAGCTGGAACAATGAAGGACAGCGGACAAAGCGGAAAGGACCTTTCTGACCGGAAACCTTCTCTGTCGAACAAGTCTCTCCGGATTGCGTCGTGGAATGTTCGCACCTTGTATGAAGCAGGAAAGAGTTCTAAATTGGCACAAGAGATGAAGAGATACAGGCTGCACATACTAGGAGTCAGCGAAACACACCGGATACAGTCTGGACAGAAGCAGCTCAGCTTGGGGGAACAAGTATTGTATTCTGGGAGGGAAGACAAGTACCCTGTGGAAGGAGTGGGAATCATTTTGAGTAACAAAGAAAGTTTTGGATCGGAACCCACAGGGTAAGAGATCTAGGGGAAGACCGGGTGGAACCTGGAGAAGAATCACAGAAATTGATGTACAGGAAAGTGGGAAGACATGGAATAACATCAAGAGGCTATCCCAGTCAGGATATAGAAAGGTGGAAGGTGTTTGTCCGTGGCCTATACCCTGGTGCATGCAGGGTGAGAAAGGCAATGATGATGATGAAGGCGAATTCAAAAGGGTTTTTGTTTTCTTTTTGTAAAAAAAGGAGGAGGGTAGTGTAAGAACTTTTTTTTTGTTGTTTTGTTTTTTGTTTAGCTTTCTTTTTGTTGGTGATTTGGGAGGACTTCCGTAACGAGCGACCACTATTAGACAGAGTAGAACAGAGGAGTGGGGGCTAGGGGTAAGGTTTGGGGAAGGGTTAGGGTTTGGTGTTTTATTTATTGTGTTTGTTTGGGTGGTTGCTCGTTACGGAAGTCCTTCTGCTGATTTTGTGCAAGTGTTAAATAAACGGAATATTATGTAAGTAAGACGATGTAAACTGAGTGCAATGGTGAAACAAACACATGGGTTGCCATCACTCGGAGAATGAGCGACGCTTCTGTAGCAAGTTCACGTCAACATCTATTGTTACTTTGTTATAGATTAGGTAAACAAAACAGTGACCAGCCACCTCACATACGATTTGTGCATGATTTGTGGGCGGGACTTATAGATCTAGTAGGTTATGAGGGATCATGCTTCCCTGACCAGCAGTTGAAAATATGTATTGTTACCCATTGTTGAACTTGGATAAACATTCATTGGAGGGACTAACAATAACGACAGGTGAATGGATTATGATGGCCCGTCCACAGCTTGAGGAGCCGATTCAAAATTTTTTACAAAGTGTCAGGCTATGAGTGACCATGCATGGCCACCTGAGGCAGGTAAATGTGACCGTGGGTTGATAAGATAAGGTGGCCGCGGTGGACAGGTGACCGTTTTACACAGTTAAATTATAATATAGAAAAAACGCAAGGGGGGAAAATGGAAAGTGGCTGTTTGTACAGGTGGCCGTCATGGCAGGTTCGACTGTATGTTGTACTACTACTACTACTACTCTACTACTTACTACTTTGTAGGTGAGTGACGGTGTATACTTTGAGTGACTTTGTCATCTTTGAATTATAATTGAACTGCATGTTGAAGCCTACTTAACTACTAATCCAGTTGAGCTCCTGTCTTTACCTTAGCGGAACTAATCCGTACCTCTACACCCATACACTGAACACTCTTCTCGGGAGGAATTCCGTAACGAGCAAGCACTATGAAACAGAGTTAGTGGAATAGAGGGGTGGGGTGGGTCAGGGTTAGATCTCTTTCATATTGTGTTTGTTGGAGTGGTCGCTCGTTACGGAAGTCCTTCCCTCTTCTCCCTTCCTTCGTCTTCTCATACCCACTAGTAACTAACTGGTCTAACCCTACCACAGCTTATATTCCTCCTTCCGATGCTTTATTCAGATGTGGGCACTCTTCGGGAGAAGTGGTCCTGCCCTACCTCCATAGAAATTTATAATCAGAAACAAAAGCGTAAATCAAGTAAAAAAGCTGGCAGGTATTTATAGTTTTTTGGGTTTTATTTAAAGGCCTTTCCTCATTGGGTGGCCTTTTCACCTTTGCAACTAGGCCAGCTTTTTTACTCTGCTTCCGTTTTTGTTTTCGATTGTGTTATTTCTATGGAGGTAGGCCGGGACCACTTCTCCCGAAGAGTGCCCAGATGTGCTTAATTCACAAAAAAATGTAAGATTCAACTACCACATTTCCTAATAACCATTGTTTTGTTAAAATGAAAAGTTTTCAAGAAAATCTTAACCATAGGCTTAACTGCAAAACATCAAACGGGAAAGTGAAAGTCAAAAGTGCAAATCAGGGGGATTTACAATTAAAACGGGATGGGGGCATGACTCCCTGAAACAGCGTAGATTTTAAAAAATTTACCTCTCAGGGGCATCCAATGGTTGAATGGTTTACGGAAATGCAGTTGAATCCGAGTTGTGCCTGAATTCTCCAAATCTGAGAATAAAATTTTAGGTGGAAATATACCCCCCTACTCCTGCCCTTTACCTAACCTTTACCCATATTTACTATCAATAGGCTTATAATTAGGGGCGGGCACGAGACGAACCGAGTACAGTCGAACCTGCCTTAACGGAAACCTGTATAAAACGGAAACCTGTCTTAACGGAATCTCCCCGCTCCCCCCTTGATATATTCCTCTTTAATTACCTGTATAAAACGGAAACCTGTCCAACGTGGAAACGGAAAGAAAAATCTGCTCCCTTCCGAGGGTTTCACCTGTCTGAGACGGAAAATGCTTTGCCCGCTGAGCCCTGACTTGAAACAAAACTCGCAAGTGTGGTTCCGTTGGCTCTAAACTTAACGCAATGGCCATGCCGCTGGCCGAAGAAAGGGAGAAGGGGTGCAATTTGGGGGTATTTGTTACCCCATCATGTGAGCCCTGAGTGATGCAGATGGTCAGTGTAGTGTGGGTGTGAAATCTCACGACTGCCCGTGAGAGTGCTCGAGTAGCGAGCCAGTACGGAAACTTTCTTGGGTAGCCAGAAGCCAGAGGTGTGAAATTAGATTGACCAATGCCAGCCGAGAAAAGAGTTCCTCGAATCGTTGTTACATGATGGCAGTGAGGGGTGGCATCGGTGGGTGGGGATAAGGGTGGAAGCAAAGGAGATGTTCAAACGTTCCTGTTTTAATAGGTCAAACAGTGGTCCTATGAAATGTAAGCACTGGTGGTAATTGGATAAGTAAGACTGACGCATGTCATTATCAGAGAGGATAGCAGCTGAGAGGTGTGAAGTTTTGACCACTGCTTGCCGATAGGACAAGCGATCCTTGATCCCACCGGCTGGGCCTTTGAACCCAACCTCCATCTCCCCCTAAATTCCCCTGTCTAAGACGGAATTTTTTTTGGGCTCCCTTGCGATTCCGTCTTACACAGGTTCGACTGTACTCGTTTCTCGAGAGAAATGCCCTTCCCGTCGCTGCCCGGGCACTAAACTACTGCCCGGTACCGAGGAGTGATACTGCTCGTTGGCTTGACATAACGAGTAACAGTAACGAGAGTGAGAGGCGAGAAATGACATGCAGACAGTGCCACCCATCACCGTGCCGTCCTGTGTGTGAAAATGAAAGGGAGGGGAGAGGGGGGCGAGACGAGGCGAGTGGGAAGTTGATCAGGGCCTAGGCTTAGATCTCCTTACCTTCCTTCACCGCCTGCGCTTGCACAACAGGGCTAGCCAAGTTTAGATCCCCGCCACGACCGGCCTTCTCGCTAAGCGAATTCCCCATACTGCGGGGCGAGAAGAGAAATTGTTCACGAGACGAGAAGCATTTCTCGGGACACGAGTCGAGAAGCTTTTCTCTGGTCTTGGGACACGAGACGAGAAGCATTTCTCGGGACCGAGACCGGTCTCGGCGAGAAGTAGGTCAGCTTCTCGGTTTTCTCGCTCGGGAAGGAAAAAGGGCTTCCCCCCCGTCTCTACTTATGATTCCTTATAATTACTCTTGGGGCCAGAGACAGAGATTGCTGAAGCCAAATTCCTACATGTAATGAACTCTAGTGATGTCCGATGAACTTTCTTAGAGGAACTTCACCTTTTTTTCTTTGACTTAATGTTCATAATCAGCCGTGCTGCTTCATTTGCCGATTGTTCACTTACATAATTCTTTGCGTCTTATACTACACCGCAAGCTCAAAAAAAAGTTTTGCTGAGGTTCCTGTTGGGATTTCAACATCATTTGACATTTCCATGTCAAAATGAAATAAACAGTGTTTGTAGTCAATAATGTAGTTAATAGAAAATGCAATGAAATAAGCAGATTAAGAGAGGAGTGAGACAAGGATGTTTTATTTCACCAGACCTCTTTAACATGTACATGTACAGTGAAACAATCCTTAGAAACATAGAAGAATTAATGTCCAGGTCTCAAGGTAAATGGAGAAAATATTAACATAAGATATATATGCCGATGACACAGTTTTAATAGCAGACCCAGAAAAGGACCTTCAATTGCTTCTAGATATTGAAACAGAAAGTGAATGTAAAGGATTAGTGTTAAATGTAAAGAAAACAGAATGCATGGTAATATTTTAAAAAGCTGCAAATCCTAGTTGTAATCTCATAAACAAAAGTGAAAAGGTCGAACAAGTCTCAACATTTTAACTATCTAGGATATAATGATAACATCTGATGCCAAATGTTTCACAGAAATAAAATGGAAAATTACAGTGGATAAGGCTAGTTTCAATAAAATGAGCCCAATCCTGAAAAATAAAAACATCTCTATGACTTCCAAAATGAAAGTTCTGAAATGCTATGTATGGTCAACTCTTTTATATGGCTGTGAATGCTGGACAATCACTAAAGGCAGTGAAAATGAAATAGAAGAAACAGAAATGTGGTTTCTTAGGAGACTACTACTAAGAATATCGTGGAAGGAAAAGAAATCAAATGAGGTAGTACTTGAAGAAGCCCACGTTGGATGTTAAAAACCACCAGGAAACGACAAATGCAGTTTTTGGGACACCTGAATAGACATGTCTTGAACATCTAGCTTTCACTGGCAAAATTGAAGGCAAATGAAGCTGGGGTAGGCCCAGAGCAACCTACTAAGGGAGCCTAAACAAATGGGTAACCGGGAAAGATCAGGGAAACATGGCTTTTTTAAGAGCATCCAAGCGAAGGAATGAATAGAGAACCATGATCTCCGATGTCTGTCGCAGATCTGGCACTGCACTGGATGATGATGAGTCAATATTATATCAATAGGCCTACAGTCTAACATGCACACATGACAAACATGCACATAACAAAAAATGGTACATATAGTGAACAGATTCTCCGGTCCCAAATTAAAAAAAAAAAATTCTTTGTCTTCAGAACACACACAAAGCGGAAACAAACTTTTATACATCCTAGTGGGAAAAAACCCCCAACAGTGTCAGCAAGAGTAAATTCAATTAAACACAACCACAAATTTAACTGAAGTAACCATGATGAGAGAGAGAGGGTATCGTAGTGTTGGCCAATGAAACTCTTTGAGCTGAGGGCAATAATGTAGGCCATGGGCGTGTTTATTGTACATGTATATCATAGAATGTGTTCTGCGATAGATTTAGCCTGCACACTTCATCTGCCAATGGAAAGTCTGTGTTTTGTGAAGGCACGCCTGTTGCCATTTGCTTTAGCACGCGTCTTCAACAGAGATGACAAAATACGCACCACCATCTCTCTGATGTTCTGCACAGTTAGGTCAAGGTGTAACTGTAGAAGAGAGTGGACCAAGAGGCAGAGCGTAGATGTAAGAGAAGCAGAAAGGCTTCTCAGTCTGGGAAAAACAGCTGATCCTGGCAGAGGTGGATAAAAATCACAGTTAAAAAACAAAATTTGCATCTCAAACAACTATGAACCCAACATAGCCTACATGTTACACTACACATATAGTATTATTAGTATAGTGGGGTGGGATAAGGGGCATAATTCATGTAAAATTTTATCCAGTTGTCCAAATTTGCCTACCTCCCTTGATATAGAGTGAAATGTGTAATTTGTACACATAATATATTGATAATCCTATAACAAAATACTGGTTTCTGTGTCCTTTCAATTTCCCTATGTTGGTGCTAGACTATTTAATGTGTACGAATCCTCTTCTTGTTTTATGCAGCCACACCTTTTCAACCCTACAGCCTATAGACTCGAGCAATCACTTTTACACTCTAGTATCTTTATACTTCCACTCCCGTTTCATTATCAGAAATTGAAAAGCACTTTTTAAAAATTGATTTCTGTGGGTTTTACATGAATTTTAAAATTTCAACCACCTGAAAACATAACTTTTTGAGGTACCCTATTGATGTTTTTAGTTGAACTATCTTGTTATTGCCAACGATAATGTGGTTTGGATACCCATTATATTAGATATATTTCTTCACTCTGCATCGTGATTTTTCACGTTAGAGAAACTTCAAATCAGTGACACGAGTTTTTAAAATCTAAAACTGAAGAACAGTATTTGGAATTAAATGAGCAGGATTGAAAGGTCCATGCCTCTGCATGGTAAATGTTTTTTGAATCTTACAATCAGACCTCCAACTTGTTTTGCAGTTCTTCTTTTTGCCGCAGGCCAGGGCCCTCTCTTGTTCGCCTTTCCCCCTCTGTCAGCACAGATGTCAAGACTAACATGTATTTTTTTATGTCCCCCCCCGGACTATGCTACTGACTCAGACTGAAATGTCTTTTGGGCATTCCCAAAGAGGAGCTATTAACATGTTCTTATGCACAGTAGAATTGTAAATGGGCTGATTTATCAATGTCATGCTCATACTGTGCCGGAACAACATTGAGGAACTGCTGCTTTTTCTTTCCTCATCCTTACTATTGTCATTTTTTCCTCTTCTTTTTTTGTATGTTTGTCACTGTCTTGTGACCCGCTATTTCCGGGTTGCCTTAATAGTCGAAGCAGACCTTGTGCTGTTGAGGCTTGAGAAGTGAGCAGAGTAAGCCTGATTCCCAGTTTGGACTTCTCTGTTGACATCCATCCCTTGGCGCTCATATGACCTTATGCAGTTGCGAGCGCCGTAAAACTTAACGAAAACTACTAAACTTTTTTACGTAAAGGGTACAAAATTCAGTATTGTCCAACAAACAAAAGTGGATGGTTGGCCGATGCTCTGATGTGATTTGCTCCTTCTTTCCTTTCAAACATCTATGGTCCTTTTTTTCCTCCTTCTCTTTTGTGTTTGTTACTCTGTTGTAACACTTCAAATCTTTGGCGCATACATGACCTGATTGTATTGCAAGGGCCTTACAACTTTTACTAAAACACATAAAAAACAATAAGAAATGATCGCTCTACTCTACCAGTCACTCACTTTACTTTCATGCTCTCTTTTCTCTGCACGCTGTGACGGTCACAGGAAAAGCTCCAAGATGTACCAGCCTACGCATACCTCCATGAACAGATGAAAAATTTCGAAGTCACCGACGAGAAGATTTGCCGGGCCCATAATGAGGTGCAGCACGTTGCAGAGACGTACTTATGTTATCTGGAGAGCCTTCGAAAACAGGAGGTAAACCGACATGTCTGATGGTTGTTGGGGACTCTTTGCTCCCTATAGGAAATCAAAATAAAGTTCAATAGCCTAATGTGTAGTGATTGCTTTTCTTGCTGAAATTCCTGGTATGGCGCCAACGTTAATCAGACACGGTTGTCGGATAATTTTATTTTCTCAGGTTATTATGTATCAAGGCCTAAAAGAGAGAGGAAAGGGATTGGGGAGAATGTTAGAATGTAGTACTGAGTTGTTTTAAAGAGAGACAAAGTCTTAAGTCATATGTGCACTTAACATGTTTTTTTTGTCAACTTAATGGCAGCAGTTACATGTGAAATACATGTTATACGAAATTGGGAATGGGTTCAAACCCACAGCACTGCAAATGTTAGAGACATGCTTAATATTTCAAGTAGCAGCATACTTAAAGGTACACTAATATAATTTTTTTTTCTTTACCAACAACATGCAAGAGTTTTGGGGTACTAAGAAGAAAGTATAATCAGGGCTGCAATTTGCTTTTGCTTTTCTTTGAACTGTCTTGAAAAATGAGGTAATTTTATGTTACTAAAACTGCATGCCGCTGCTCAGGATCGTTCCATTTCAGTTTTTTTTTTCAAGGGATGTAATTTTTTAAAATGTTTTAAAATGCTACTATATTGTGTTGTCTCCCTTAGATCATTCCTGTTTGAACAAATTATTGTACTCTCCTGTTTCATGAATTATGCAGTGGCGGTGGGTGAACCAAGATTTGGGTGGGGCTTGGGTTTCTTCCACTTCTTTACCACCAAATAACAAGCAATAAGAACAAAACAGTTATGATTTTTCTATGGTCACGGCGAGCCACGGCATTTTGAGAACCAATCTAACGAGAAGAGTCACCCTTGTCTTCCATCTCTTTGTTCTACGTTAAATTCTTCTGGATGGTGGGGACGAAGCCGTTTCACCTCCAAATTTTTCTAATTCGTTTTTATTTGATGAAAAAGTTGCCACAAAAATGGTTTGATGTAATTAATAACTGTTAAATCTCAGCCGCACAAACATACAGCACTCCAAACAAACATCGTCTATGAGGTGGATTGTGTCTTTTTGTTGCAGAAAATAGAACGCGCCTAACAAAGGCCCAATGGGCGCATACGTAACTATGTCACTGGGGCAAAGTGTGTCGTAAACTTTCACCCCATTGTCAGGGCTGGGAGAGCGTGAGCCCTCTGTGCAGTGTTATTTTTTTCAAGTCTTCTACCTTTTTACTAGAGGGGTTTCATTAAGGAGAGACCGTGGGAACGGGCTGGTTGATTGCTGAGCCCTAAAGACATTTGATTGGCTGTTAGACTACTATAATTGTAAGCGGGGACAACAGTGATTGGATAAACGAGCAAACCGCCAAGTTCATCACTCTGTGTTCATTGCGGTCGATCAGAACAGTTTCAATTGCTTATTTCGTTATTTTTATTTGCCTTGGGATAGACTTGGGGGGTGGGGAGGGGGGCTCAAGCCCGTGAGCCCTCCACTACCCACCGCCACTGGAATTATGGTGGTCTTCTTGCATTGTGTAGAGAAAGAAAACATTTTGTACATTTCTTTGACACTCGCCTGCTGAATTTTGAATGGCACACATACCTTTCTGAATTACCATACTTAATTTCTTTGAATGTGGATAGTTGCTCTCCTGAATTTTAGGATCAGCATGGTAAAGTTGTCAAAGCGCTTAACTCATTGTAGTTTTCAGGTTATTGACCCCTGCACTGACTTAGGGTTCCTATCATTTTAAAAATCTATTTGTGAGGCAGCGTGGTGGAATCAGGCTCTCGTCAAAATAATCAAAGTGAAGAAACTTGCATTTTTCCGCAGGTTTGTGAATTTTTATTATATTTTGTTTTTTGCCTCAACACCTTTAATTTAATTGAAAGAACTCGTTTATGTGTGGATTTTTTTTAAACACGTTGATAAAAGGCGCAAAAAAATGAAAATTTTCAGTTACCGCGGGCTCTTAAGCTATGGAAATAACTAATCTTTGGCGGCTATTTTCTCACTAATTTTACCTCTGAAAACAGGTGACCCCCACCTCATTTTTTCGTCAATATCTCGACTTGTATTCAAGATAATTGGATATTTATTTCATCCAAATAAAGGCAAGTGAACAAACTTTAAGGTTATACCAATAACTCTACACGCCCAAAAATTGACGAGAGCCTGATTCCACCACGCTCCTCACATTTTATCTTACTTTTGTTGTATCGCAGATGGAACTTTAATTAAATGTAAGCTCTTCGTTTTAGATAACTTAACTTGGTTGGAAAAGGAAAGGTGTTAACATAATCATATTATGTTCATATATTGAATCTATACATGAGCGTATGAATTAATGTGTCTGTGCTGCCGGTAACTTCCTACCTATGGGAGAAGCTGTGAGTCTTTGCTTGATTTTGAGTGTATGATCTCATGGAAACATTATGCACAATGAGAGAGTGGTGATTTTGAGTGTATGATCTCATGGAAACATTATGCACAATGAGAGAGTGGTGATTTTGAGTGTATGATCACATGGAAACATTATGCACAATGAGAGAGTGGTGATTTTGAGTGTATGATCTCATGGAAACATGATGCACAATGAGAGAGTGGTGATTTTGAGTGTATGATCTCATGGAAACATGATGCACAATGAGAGAGTGGTGATTTTGAGTGTATGATCTCATGGAAACATGATGCACAATGAGAGAGTGGTGATTTCGAGTGTATGATCTCATGGAAACATGATGCACAATGAGAGAGTGGTGATTTTGAGTGCATGATCTCATGGAAACATGATGCACAATGAGAGAGTGGTGATTTTGAGTATAAGCATACTGTGGTTAACAGTATGAAACTGTATAAGGTAGTGGTGCTTTTAAAACAGAAAAAATGATTTTTCCTTTACCAGACTTGTCCTGATCTTCATTTTTTAGCACAGAGCTTGCTGTCGAGTAGAAATTTGTACTGTGTTAATGGTACTTATTATTCTTTTATTATTATTATTATTATTATTATTAAATTATTATTATTATTATATATATATTATATATTATTATTATCATCATTATTGTTATTATTATTACTATCATAATTATTATTATTGTTATTCCTAAAAATTATTTTATTATCATCATTATTACTACTACTACTACTACTACTACTACTACTACTACTACTACTACTACTACTACTACTACTACTACTTCTACTACTACCACTACCACTACCACTACCCCTACCACCACCACCACTACTACTACTACTACTCTACTATTACTACTACTACTACTACTACTACTACTACTACTACTACTACTACTACTACTATTATTATTACTACTACTACTACTACTACGACTACTACTATTACTACTACTACTACTTCCCAGGAGCTGAGTCAGCAATACAAGGGCAGAGGGGAGAGAAGTGTGGAGAGCAGTGCTGAGATTGTCGGCCTCAAACTGCCAAAGTTGTTCTCCGAGGACGCCCCCGCAGATAAACCTGACCCCTGATTGATGTGAACGACGACTAGTTAAGAAGTCCGGGCAAAAATATCTCTCTCTGTTTTGAGGTGCTTGGATGGGGCGTGTCCATTGGGAAAAACAGGCGCCTGAGTGAAGTGAAACGTCAGTTGAGTGTAAATGTTGTGAAGGGAGATGAAAGTGCTAATGGACGGCAAAGAGCTGTTGTATAATGTGTTAAGTAAACTGCGTTTGTGGGTGCACAATTTTGTGTGTGTTCGCACTTTTGAACTCACAAAGTGGAATGTTAGTAGAGGGTTAACGTTGTGAACAGAGATGATGAATACTTTGGTGGATGGAGAGACATATATTATGATGTGACTAGTGCGCTGTGTTTGTGTGGACATATATAATAATAATTATAATAATAATAATAATAATAATAAATTGCATTTATATAGCGCCTTTCCACAAAGAAGTGCTCAATGCGCTGTACAATAATACAAAGAACATTTGCAGCACACAGCTCCTATAGTAATCTTCTTTCTCTCTCTCTCACTCTGTCTGTCTGTCTGTCTGTCTGTCTGTCTGTCTGTCTGTCTGTCTGTCTGTCTCTCTCTCTCTCTCTCTCTCTCTCTCTCTCTCTCTCTCTCTCTCTCTCACTGTGTGTCTCTCTCTCTCCAGTACATCCTTGAGTAAAGACAATCCTACAAAGCTTACCCATATACCCTCGCACACATTGATGAATTTACAGTCATAAATTCTTACAGAACAGAACATCATGAATAAACGATAATGAAAGAACATAATAGATACTGAGAGAACATAATATTTCTATTGGGAATATCGGAAATTACAGATTGAAGCTGGACTGAAACAAATGCGTTTTAAGTGCTGATTAAAATTTTGATAAAGTTGTAGACTCCCGTAGATGAGCTGGTAAAGCATTCCACCGGGAGGGGGAGTGGTGTGAAAAAGCTCTTCCTCCGAGTATATATATATGTTTGAACACACATTGTTACTGTAAGTAATTTGTTAAGAGAGAGCAAATGATATGAGAAATGATGATTCATGAATGCTTTTGCTGGATGTGGAGAGCTTTCTGATGATGTGTTCATTTTACCCTGTATGTCGACTACTTAGAGTAAGACTGCGCCGTACACCATGTTGAAAAGTGACGCATGACAGAGTAGAATACTGAGCAATTAATGTGTGCCTTTGTATGTGTTTGTGTGTGCGGTTGAAGATTGAGTGTTAGTGTGTTCAGCTGTGTGTATGTGTGTGTATAGGTATATATTTATGTCTGTTATCTTGTTGTGTGTTCCTGTGTGTTGTACAAAGCTCTATAATGAGAAAAGGAAATGAATATATGTATATATATATAGGATTCGTAGAAAGTACTTGTATTTTTTTTTGCTAGAACCTGATAGGATATGGCTAGGCAGTACCGCGGTAGTGAGAATTTTGTGAGTCCTCATTTGTGTGAAACACATCATGTTTAGGTGAATTTTGACGGATATTTTCTCTCTATCCCTCTATATATAAAAAAGATTCTTATAACTTTTGAAGTTTTTGTTATGGCATGTATGTAGCACATTTTGCTGCCCATTGCATTGTTATGTGGCTCGTTTGGTCTCAGCTCTGCTGAAAACTCCCTTTTGACTCTTTATGTGCCACTGTCTATTTTAGCATCTCGTCAGATGATGTAAGCTCATTTGGCATCATGCTGAACTATTGAAAGGATCACCCTAATTCGAATCCCAAATTGGGCATTCTTGAACTTGTGTCATTTTGATGGTTTTGTTGAGATTTCAAGGCTCTCAACCCCATTTGGCTCTGTCCTATCCGAGAAGGAGATTAAATTTGGAGGTCCCACCTCTTCAGTAAACTAACAGTATTTATAGGGGCATCAAACCCATACATTTACTTTTCGGATGATGTAAAGAGAGGCTCTTATGCACTGGTGCAAACTGCAAAAAGAGTTGGTCCAATGCCCTTGTTTCAGATTTCGAAGTAACATCAAGTTCACTGCTGAGTTGAGTGATGTTTATGCAAGCTGTTAATAAATGATTTTAACAATATGTATTGTTTATCATTTGTCTTTATGTTGTCATGTTGTTTAGCTTTGTTGTCAGGGTAGACAGAACAAACAGATCTAGTCCTTCACAGGCTGGTTGTCCTGGTTAGTCATACAGTCTAGCAAACACACAGCCAACATATTTTCTGGTCCCATGTATCCTCGAGTTTTTAGAAGAACCAATGCCCATTTTTTACGGCGCTTCCAACTGAATAAGGTCATACGAGTGTGTGGGACACATTAAACATTTTCAGTCGGTAGGAAATTTTGAATTTTGCCTGGGTGGTGGCCGAAGCCTACTCTTATCGATTTTAGAACACCAAGGGAGCTTGCTCATGGGACCTCGGAGATTTTACGCCCTTGTCCGAGAAGGCTAGAGCTAGGTGTAGATCTTTCCTACCAGGAGATCAGGGGTGTGGCTGAAAGACGGCGGTAAGAAGGGGCCAAGGAGAAGCAGTAAAAAGGCTACAGAAAGAGTCAGGAGCCCAGAGGAGGGGGCAAAGGAGGTGAGGGGGTGGGGACAGAAAGTGGAGACAAAAGCAGACGTCAGAACATTGCTAGAGAGCAGGAAAAGAGATGAAAGGAGAACATTTTAGAGAAGAAAATTTTTCCATCGCTACCCGAATTCGAACCCGGGACTTTTGAATGAGAGGCGAACACTTTGACTTTTGGGCCACGAGAGCCCCCGACCTCTTCTCTACTTCATCAAATTTGACCATGAAGCCTATGAAAGCCTATCACATTTTGTGAGAAAAGAAAAGGTCAGGCACTGCAATGTGTAGGCGACAAGTACAAGCCTTCTATTGACGATAATATGCTTGACTTTTAACTAAAATCAACTTGACCCAATTGAGACTGGAAAATCAGACGTTTGGTTTACGAGGATTTGATCAATAAATTGTGGCAAAATTGTAGCGTTTGCCGACCTATAAAAGAAAATTTGGATCTTTTATATTATGACTTTTGACACGACAGCGTGCACGGGGTATTCACACAAACAGTAACTCTCCGCTGTTCTTTACAACAGGTAGAGAAGCGAGACAATAATGTCCCAAGGGACGTAACAAAGACAAAATTGGAAAATGTACAGTTTCATCCCTTGTTGTCTACCCTTTCTGCAAGCTGCAGTGCACGATGAGGAATTCGATGCATGCATGTGATTGTAATATATTAATAATGCGACTTTTAACAGCACTAAACCCCGATTAAAGAACACAGGCTCTGGGCAAGTAACAAATACAGTAGAACTCATAAATAGAACTCTGCGTTCTGACTAAAAATCTTGACAAATCTATGGATTGGTGAAGCTGTCATCAGTGTGGCGTTGATGAGCACATGACTTACATTACAACTCTATATATCTGTCCCCGTCGTTTTATGCAAAGAAAAATTCTGAAATTATGCAAATTGAGCCCAAAAATGTGGAATTATGCGATTCTGTTAATTTTAACAAAGAATGATAAGGGAAAATAATAAGAAATTATGAAAAAAAAAAGATCAAATTTTGCTTAATTATGCGGGGTGCATAAAACCACGGGGACAGATATATCATGTTGTCCCGAACCCACAGCTGAACTAAACCACGGCAGTGACAAGAATGGGACATCTCAGATAGATTGTTTTGACTCTGACTGGGGCCTGTGAAATATTCTTCTTGTGTGTTTTGTGCCATGCACCTGTGTGTAAACATGTGTACTTTAGTAGCCAACAAGTCACATTACTATTTTTTCCCCTGTTGGTTTCTCGTTACGAAAAAATTCCCTAAAGTTTTCACTGGAATCTACATAAAAGCAGTTGATTCACAATAACATCTGAATTTGTCATTTTAAAAAAAAAGAAGAAAAGGCCCCAACCCCAGAAAAAAACAACGTGTTGATCTGAAAAAAATGTTCCTGGATGTACATGTACCTTCAGGGCTGCGCTTTGCGAGACCCTTACCAGGCCATGGGTCTTTCCCTTTACTTTGTAATCGTAGTGACTGGGATAGCAATGCCACATCGACGGCAAAACTCTCTGGTCTAGATCCTCTAATTGAGACCAAAACGTCCACTGACCTAAGTGAGTTTGTAGTAACTTAAGTAAGACTAACTCAACTGAGCGGATATACCATGAGTTTGGCACGACCATTGACATGGAAAAGACATGCTTCGTCTTAAAAAATCCTAAGACAAAGTGAACGCTGAAAATTCTGAAGAAGAAGAAAAAGAAGAAGAAGTTTCTTTGAGAAAGAATAATAATAAGAAGTTTTTGAGGAAGAAGAAGAAGAATTTTTTTTAGAAAGAAGAAGAAGAAGAAGAAGAAGAAGAAGAAGAAGAAGAAGAAGAAGAAGAAGAAGAAGAAGAAGAAGAAGAAGAAGAAAAATAATTTTTTTGAGAAAGAAAAAGAAGAAGAAGTTTTTTGAGAAAGAAGAAGAAGAAGTTTTTAGAGAAAGAAGAAGGGGAATGAGGAGGAGGGGGAGGAGGAGGAGGAGGAGGAGGAGGAGGAGCTTTAAAAATGTTTAATTCCTATTATTGAGCTTGCACTATGTTGTTTTTCCTCTGCCTTTTTGTTCAACATTTGGGATTTGAATCTCGACAAAATATTTCTGGAGCACATATTCCACCGATACCACGGACTGTGAAACTGTAGATCTAGTTATAAAATTAAAATTTTAGGCATAATAAATACAATATCTTAACAGCCGGCGACTGTACGATACATGCAGACGATAGACGACACAGGCGAGTTGTATACATGTAGCGCTTAGAGCATGCTCTTTAGCATGGATATGCGCTATATAAATTATTATTATTTATTATTTGAATGAATCGGCCCCTTTGCACAGTGTGTGCTTGGTAGAGTTCAGTGTATTTTCCTGGAATTTTCCAATGTTTCTTCGGTGTATGGCATTAAAGAATGAAAATGTCTCTCATTTGAAAACAAACATCTTTCGATTGAGGAAGTCGAATGCTTTTATACATTACTTGCTCGTTGCCTGTTATTATCCACACAAAAACCTCACGTTTGCTATAACTTACAAACACCCGGATTCAACGAAACTGAAGGGCGAGCCCGGCGACTTCGTTGAATCCGAGTTCCACTGTAAACTTGTACATTGTATTGGT